CAGAATCAGATGCTCTCTCCTCTCTCATTACGCTATACATATCTTGTCACAATCTTCTGTGACGGTGCCTGTCACCTCCACTAGCCTGTACTCATCCAGCATCGGACTCTATTTTATCTCTGGGTTCTTACTGCTTGGTGCGGTGCCAGGCACATAGTGGGTGCTCACTGAAGATCTGTTGACTATTTCAACAACTACCTGTCAGTGGTACCCAAGGCCCTCATTGGAGGCACTCGGTCACTGCCCATCACACACACTGCTCTTTTCATCTCTAGAGTCTACTTTTACACTCTTTGTCCCTTGAGGTGGAAATCAGCAGCGGGGGGCGTTTCTAGTCAGTCAAAATTACGCTAGTAACACGAATTGCAAAATTTATTCTTTGAAAGGATTAAGGCAGCGCCACAGCCCAACGGATTGTGAAATGAAGACATGTGCCTTCACTCCACTTGATAACCCCAAGCTGCGGTGTTTTAACCATCCGCATTCCTCTTGCTTGAAGCCCTGGGAACAGCGGGCACCAGACCTAGGGGAGGCCGGAAGTGAGGGGCCGGAAGTGAGGGGCCGGAAGTGGGGACGGCCTGGGCGCTGTGGACTGCTTGGAGGAGGCAGATGGGCCTGGGGACAAGGGGCCTTGAATTTGAGCGGGAAAAGTCCCCGACGCCAGCGGTTGGACCTGCCCCTCAGGTAGTAGAGGCTGGTTTGGAGTGGCGACGCGGATGAAGGGGGCCTGGAGGGGCGGCTATCCCGCCCCCCATCCCGTGCGGCTCCCTGCGCTGTCTGCTCTTCCGGTGTGGGCGGGAGGGAGACGAGGCCGCACAAGCTGCGTGAGGGAAGGTCCCTGCTGTGTGACGCCATCACGTCACTCCCTCCTTCTAGAAACTTCTCTGAGGCCCAGCCTCAACCTGCGAGTAAACTGCGCTCTCTGAGGGCAGTCTCCGGTCTGATTCGTCAGTGCCACCCAGCGCCGCCACAGGGCCTGCCTGGTGCGCAGTGGTCATTCTGAAACGGTTGTTGAATGAATGAAGAAACGGATGCCGGGGAAAGACCCAGTCTACCGGAAGCTGATTTTCTCTGGGCCTCCACCCCTATGTTCAAAATTCTTTCCCACGCATCTCATTTCTTCCTCTCCACAGTCCTCCCTGTGGGTGACAAGTCCTTATGCTGCGGATGGGGTTACTGAGGCCCAGAGAAGTTGTTAACCCTTAATGAGGAAATGGCAAAGCGGGCCCTCAAATCCACCCCTTTGGAATCCTAATTCAGGTAATGAGATGAGGTACGTGAGTGCCTAGGTGTGAGCACATTGTGAGTGTTCAGTGAAGAGGAGCCATTTTCTCCCGAGGGCAAGGACTGTGACTTGTGGGCCTGTTGGCCATTTCCTAGAATGGAGCCTGTCACAAGGTAAACTCTGTAAAATTAGTAGTTGAATGAATTAATGAATGCACAGAAGGGGCTCAAAAAAGTTGGCTTCTCTGCCTCTTGTGGTGTTCTTTCCGTCAGAACAGTAACGCCTCTTCATGCCGTGGTTTCTCTGGAATCGTTCTCCTGTCACAGTCTTGGCCAGAGCTTGTTTCCTCGGGAGTTAACTCGTGTCTTTAAGCAGCACATGTACAAACAGGAGAACTGTGTCTCCTCATAGCACTACCCTAAATGCATCTTTCCAGAGATGCCTCTGGCCACTCAGCCTCTCAGATGCTTGTCTTATTGTTGTCATTATTGTCCTGAGTCTTTGGATAAAGTCCGTTCAGCTCCTCAGTCCCTTATTCTCCATTCTGGCATCCAGAAAGTGTTGAAAACCAATTTTTCCCCCTAACTTGCTTGGCAGCAAGACCCGAACTGAAATGAGCCACGTGTCTTTAGCTATTTCAAATATTTACAGGTTTGCGTTGCAGTCCTGTTAATGTGTTTGATTGTTCAGACTGGCCCACATAATATGGTGTAGGCACAGCGTTACGCTTCGGAAGGCAAAAAAAGAATTGAGTTTAAATTCCATAACTCATCTGGCCTCAGAGGATTCAAATAACAGATTGTGGAGCAGTAGTTTAATGTCGCTTGATAACTTATATGATTTCCTGTTATGATTCAGGTAAAGTTGGGGGAGGAAATAGCCTTTGCCAAAGCATTGTGGAAGCGGGCAAATCTAAAAAGAAAACTAAGAGACCTTTTCTACCTCATCATTTGTTTATTTTGGAATTATTTAAGGGAGAAAGCTCCTGAACTAAACAATGTTATTTGAATGTAGGGATCATGTTTTACATTTCTTATATCCTCCAAAAGCTGTATAAATCATAGGTACTCAAGAAATATTTGTTGATTGATTTGAAAACATTTGCTCAAAACTCCAGAATTTTACTTGACAATTACAAGAGCTGGATTATATTTTTTAAATGTCATGTTTATAATCCAAAGCTGTAGAATCAATTCAGGTTTATCCCAAAGCAGAGTCATTCAACCATTTCGTCATTCACTCAACACCTGTTTTTTGAGTACCTACTATGTGCTAGGTGCCTGTTAGGCAATAGGATTACGCTAGTAAATAAGAACACTCCTATTCTCAAGAAACTTCCAGTCGGGTGGTGGAGAAAGCCAAAAAGCAAATAACAAATACATAAGTACAGATCATGACAAGTGCCATAAAGGAAATAAACTGGGTGCTGAAGAGTATGATGGGGAGACTTAAGTAGTTAGTGTGGTAGGTGAAGGCCTCTCAGAGGAGGAAACCCAGATTTATGACATGAAATATCTTACTTTCTTCCATTTCCAAATATTATAGGGATTTGGGTAGCCAGACAAGCAAAATTCAGGTGTGAAAATTGACTCTCTTAGGCACTACTTTTGTCATATCACTGTAGTTACAGTCTCGAGTGTTTGATGATATGAGTAAACTGAGCATCTGCTTGTAGTCAGGTGTCTAAAACACATAATAAACCAACATATAATTTGCAACTAACACCAATTAATTGAACTCCTTGTTAGTCTGGAAGGATATCAATAGTACAATGGTGTGTTACATATTCTATGTTCATGTCATGAAGTACTATACATTAGTAAATGATACTAATTCACTTATCCAGACTTTTTTCTTTGTGGTTTTTCCTATGGTTAGGAATGTATTTAATTTTGCTATGATGTGCAGCACATTCATTTTAAACTACTCTGTTGGATTGAAGGCTATTTTTAGATTCTTTTCTGGGGCAGAAAATTCATTTAAGAAAACATTTTTTAAAAATTTAAAAATGCAGGTTAGAGAATATAGGAAAACCTAAAAATTAGGATTTTGTCCCTCCAAAATATAAATAGGCAGCTATCTGAAAAAGAGGGTTTTAACAGCTGTTGTTCAACTCCAGCAGGTTATAATTCTAACAGGTTTTTTTTTTTTTAATAGACGTGAGGAAACATCAATATTTGCTGCTCTAAGCTGATGTCACAGTGCATCTCTGACTTGAGTGAGCTTAGTAGAGGGGAAAAAAGGACAATGTAAAAAGAAAACCCTCATGATTGGAAATTTTAATAGCTTATTGAAGCACATTATACATCGAGTTTTCGCTGCAGGAGTAAGTCAGATAAAAACGCCTGTATTTGAAATACAAACAAGAGAGAAAATCAGAAAAATGTAAAAACACACAACTTCTCTTTTTCTTCCCAGAGTTGATGATAGTCTCTTTCTGAGAAGTCTTAGTTAAACGAATACTTTTTCTATCTTGCTTATTTGAGGATGTGTTGTACTTTTACCAAAAAACAAAAAAGAACCCATTAATTATCCTCTTCTCTTATTTTTAAAAAAAGAAGTGATAGTTCATTTAGGATGCTTCTGAAAATTTATGTCTTCCTTAAACACAGAGAAATTAATCAAGCCTGAGCTAGGAATTGAGGAGGGCAAAGAAGAGAAACAAACCCAAAAATAACAAACACATTTGTTATAGATTGTAACATTTTTCTTCTTTATGTGTGCAGTTTCTCTAGTAAAATCTGATTATAGGTTGTCGAGGTCTGGATGTTTGTCAGGGCCTGAAATCAATTTGATACACTATCTTGGTGGCCATCAGTGGTGACTCACTAGGGAGATTGCAAAGTAGCTGACCCACGTTAGTGCAAAGTAATGAAAGAGCAGAAAGGGAATGGTTTCATATAAACCGTGAACTGATCATTCACAAGCGTCATTTACGGTTTGGTGGCTGCATACCCCTTTTAATTTTTAACGTATTTTTGTATCAACCTAAATGAGTCTCTCTTTGTGTATACTTGTTTTGAGATCTGACAGATGCATGCTGATCACTCCAGCTTTTAGGGAAACCCTTACACCATTTGAATCATACTGTAGACCTTGTTTAATCCTAAACTCATACTTCTTTTTCTAAAGCTGAGTAAAGAAAGTAACCTTTTCCTTGAACTTGCCAGCCTTCGCAGGACTAAAATGTTGGTCTAGGGTACCATGAGTTAAATGTGGAGTCCACTGAAGTACAGCTGTTTGTCTTAATAGTTGATGACCCTCCCTCCTTTTAGATTAACAAGAAAGCAGACTGTAGTTAGATCAGGTTCTAATGACTTGTAGTTCTAAAAAGAGTACAACCATAGGGTCACTTGGTGATTCTAAGACTCGATTTTTATCTTAATTACTTTCGGGACATAATATTTTTATACATGACAGCAAATCTTAAGCAAGAGATGTGAGAGCACAAATTCCATTTCTTTATACTGACTTCTCCACAGTCCATGTAATGCTTTATAATAATTTTATTTCTGGCCAAAGAGGTTCAATGATATTTTCTGTGGAAACTTTTCAGTCTAGAGAGACCACCTATATTTCTTTAAATAACACAAGCCACTCCCTTATGAGAGATTTTCCCATACTGATCCTAAGCACATTTATATGGTACCCTCAATTCTAGCTGATGTGAGGGGCTGATTTAGACACTAAAGCTAGAGTTTTTTAGACTGACTTGGTCTTCTGTAGACACTAAACAAATACTTAACTTACATGTTTTTTGTGCTTTTCTTTGCAGGAAATTGATGGCTCGTCAAGATGGAGATTAATCATTTGTATTTGAGAGCAGCAGAACTGGGGGCCAGTTACTTCTCAAGAGTTTTTTAAACTAATCACATAAACTCCTGTCCCATTGCTCTCATCCCCCATCTTACCTTCAAACTTGTCTCACCTATGGCATTCAGGAGGCAAGTGAAAAACTTCGTGAAAAATTACTCAGATGCTGAAATAAAAGTCAGGGAAGCAACTTCTAATGACCCTTGGGGTCCTTCTAGTTCTCTGATGTTAGATATCAGTGACCTGACTTTCAACACGATTTCTCTCTCAGAAATTATGAATATGCTATGGCAGAGACTCAAAGACCATGGGAAAAACTGGCGCCACGTGTATAAGTCCCTTACACTAATGGATTATCTCATCAAGAATGGATCAAAGAAAGTTATTCAGCATTGCAGAGAAGGGTTCTGTAACCTTCAGACTCTAAAAGATTTTCAACACATAGATGAAGCTGGAAAAGACCAAGGTAACAGATGTGGACGTTTATACAATGTGCCAATGAAGATGAGTTTGGGAGGGGATTATATGAAACTGGGAGCTGGGGAAGAGTTGTCCTTAAATGTGTTAGCTACCTTTCCTCTGGGACAGTTGAGGTTTCCAGTTTCATCCTTTTTGTTGACTCTTGAATGCCTTAGAGAACAAGATTTTTTTTTCAAAAGGATGTGTAAATCCTTTTTTGTAAATCCAGGAATCACTTAGATTCCTGATAAAAGGATACCTCATAGAAAATGAACAAAGTAAATAAAACAGGAGGCATCGCAATTTGGTATAATAATATCACTGTAATTCATAATTATAATTAGACTGGAATTTAGTCACAAATGTAAGGAAGTGTTTCCAAAGACTATGGAATCTTCAGACTATCTAGATGGAAGTAGTTATATGAATATAAAAATTTAGGTCATAAAATGATTTTGTCGGGGGTGGAGCAGGAGGTGAAGTAGAGAAAGGCTGTATAGAACACTGAACGGAGATGATTCAGTGGAGCCTAATCAGCACTCCCTCCCCATCTAATGTAAGATTATAATTTGTATTTATAAGTGAATAGTCTTATGAATCATGAGAAGAGGATAAAATTCAGTGCAGTCTCTGTTACGTATACATTTTTAAAATAGACTGTTTTTTTTTAGAGCAGTTTTAGGTTTACAGAGAAATTATGCAGCAAGTACAGAGTTCTCACATACCCTTGCCTACCCACACACGATTTCTCCTGTTAGCATCTTGCAGTAGTGTGGTACATTTATTACAATTGATGAACCAGTGTTGATACATATTATTAACTATAAAGTCCTTAGTTTGCATTAGGGTCCATTCTTTGTGTTCTACAGTTAGGGGTTTTGAAAAATGCATAATGTCATGTATCTTCCATTTCAGGATGGTACAGAATAGTTTCACTGCCTTGAAAATGCCCTGTGCTTCACCTATTCATCTTTTTCCCCCTTCTCCAAACCTTTGGCAACCACTGATCTTTTTGTCTCCGTAGTTTTGCCTTTTACAGAATGTCATATAGTTGAAATCATTCAGTATGTCGCTTTTTCAAACTGGTTTCTTGCAGTTAGCAATACGCATTTAAGATTCTTCCATGTCTTTTTATAGCTTGAGAGCTCATTTCCTTTTTTTTTCCCTTCACTTTTTGTAAAACAGCTTTATTGAGATGTAATTCCCATACCATACAATTCACCTATTTAAAGTGCATAGTTCACAGGGCTGGCCCGGTGGCATAGTGGTTAAGTTTGCGCGCTCCTGTTTGGCGGCCCGGGGTTTGCAGGTTTGGATCCTGGGCATGGACCTGGACACCACTCATCAAGCCATGCTGTGGTGGCATCCCCTATACAAAGTAGAGGAAGGTTGGCACAGATGTTAGCTCAGGGACCATCTTCCTCAAGCAAAAAGAGGAGGAGGGCAACAGATGTTAGCTCAGGGCCAATCTTCCTCACAAAAAATTAAAAAATAAAAAAACTAAAGTGCACAATCCTATGGTTTTTGGTATATTATTAGTTTTTTTAATTGATAAAATATATATAACATAAAATTTGCCATTTTAAGTGTACAATTCAGTGACATTAATTACATTCACAATGTTGCACAACTATCACCACTATCTATTTCCAAAACATTTTCATCACCGCAAACAGAAACTCTGTAACCATTAAGCAATAACTCCTCTGCTAACCTCTAATCTACTTTCTGTCTCTGTAAATTTGCCTATTCTGGGTACCTCATATAAATGAGATCATATAGTATTTGTCCTTTTGTGTCTGGCTTATTTTACTTACCATAATGTCCTCCAGGTTCATCCATGTTATAGGATGTATCAGAACTTCATTTTTTTATAGCTGAGTAGTATTCCATTGTGTGTACATACCACATTTTGTTTACCTATTCATCTGTTGATGGATTCTTGGGTTGTTTCCACCTTTTAACTATTGTGAATAATGTTGCAATGAACATTAGTGTACAAGTATGAGTTCAAGTGCCTGCTTTCAATTCTTTTGGGTATATACTTAGGAGTGGAATTGCTGGATCATATGGTAATTCAATGTTTGGCTTTTTGAGGAACCGCTAAACTGTTTTCCTTAGCAGCTGCACCATTTTACATTCCCACCAGCAGTGTATGAGGGTTCCTATTTCTCCACATCCTTGCCAACACTTGTTATTGTCCTTCTTTTTGATTATAGCCATCCAACTGGGTGTGAAGTAGTATCTCATTGTGGTTTTGACTTACATTTCCCTAAAGACTAATGATATTGAGCATCTTTTCATGTCCTTGTTAGCCATTTATGTATCTTCTTTGGAGAAATGTCTATTCAAATCCTTTGTCCATTTTTAACTGGGTTATTTTTTTTATTGTTGAGTTTTAAGAGATCTTTATATATTCTGGATACAAGACCCTTATTAGATAGATGATTTGCAAATATCTTCTCCCATTCTCTATAGGTTATCTTTTTACTTTCCTGGTTCAATTTTGATGAAGTCCAATTTTACCTATTTTTCCTTTGGTTGCTTATGCTTTGGGTGTCATGTGTAAGAAATCATTGCCTAATCTAAAGTCACGAAGATTTATACCTATGTTTTCTTCTAAGAGTTTTATAGTTTTAGCTCTTACATTTAGATCTTGTATCCATTTTGAGTTAATTTTTGTATATAGTGTGAGGTAAAAGTCCGACCTCATTGATTTTCATGTGGATATCCAGTTGTCCCACTACTGTTTGTTGAAAAGACTCTTCTTTCCTTATTGACTTGTATTGGCACTCTTACAAAAATCAATTGACCATAGATGTAGGGGTTTATTTCTGTACTCTCAGTCCTGTTCCATTGATTTATATGTCTATCTCTATGCCATTGCCACACTGTTTTGATTACTGTAGCTTTGTGGTAAGTTTTGAAATAAAGGAGTGTGAGTCCTCCAACTTTGTTCTTTTTCAATATTGTTTTGGCTATTCTAAGTCCCTTGTATTTACATATCAAATTTAGCATTGGCTTGTCAATTTCTGCAAAAAAGGCAGCTAGAATTTTGATCAAGATTGCATTGAGTCTATAGATCAATTTTGGGAATATTGCCATCTTAGTATCAATTCCTCCAATCCATGAACACAGATGTCTTTCCTTTTATTTAGGTCTTCTTTCATATATGTTTTGTAGTTTTCAGTATACAAATCTTACACTCATTTTGTTCATTTATTCCTAAGTATTTTATTCTTTTTGATGTTATTGTAAATGAAATTGTTTTCTTAATTTCATTTTCAGATGGTTCATTGCTAATGTGTAGAAATACAAATCAACTGATTTTTGTATATTGATCTTGTATCTTCCTACTTTGCTGAACTTGTTTATTAGCCGTAATAGGTTTTTTTTTTTTTTTTTTTTTTTGTAGATTCCTTAGGATTTTCTACATACAAGGTTATGTCATCTGCAGACAGAGATAGTTTTACTTCTTCCTTTCTAATCTGGATGCCTCTCATTTCTTTTTCTTGCTTAATTGCCCTGGCTAAAACCTCCTGTACAATGTTGAATAGAAGCAGTGAAAGCAGACATCCTTGTCTTGTTCCTGATCTTGGAGGAAAGCTTTCAGTCTTTCACCATTAAGTATGATGTTAGGTGTGGGTTTTTCATAGGTGCTCTTGATCAGGTTGACAAGTTCTCTTCTATTCCTACGTTTACCAAGAAAGGGGGTTGACTTTTGTCAAATGCTTTTTCTGCATCTCTTGAGATGATTATGTGTTTCCCCCCTTTATTCTATTAATGTGGTGTATTACATTGATTGATTTCCATATGTGAACCAACCTTTCATTCCTAGCATAAATCCTACTTGGTCATGGTGTATATCCTCTCTATTTTTTAAGTGTTTTTTATTTATTTTAGTTATTTTAGGTCCGGTTTCTAAAGGGCAAGAACAGTGTCCCTAGCACTTAGTATATTGCCTGAGAGTAGAATCACTCAGTAGATATTTGATGAATTGATGATTAATATCTTAATATTTTTATACTTTTAGAAAATTTATAGAAATTAACTTTCTTTTAGGAATATAAAAAATGTAAATGTCCGAGTTGACTCCTTTAATAACAACATACTGTTCCATTTTTTTTTTACTATAAATTACTTTTTAAAATAGATTTTTAATACTTACAGTACCTTATTGGGATGTAATTTATATATTTTAAATGCACAGATCTTAAGTGTGCAGTTTGATGAATGTTGGTAAGTGTGACCATCACCAATATCAAGATAACAGAGCATTTCCATCATCCCAGAAAATTCCTTCATCTCCCTTTCCAGTCAATCCTCCCGCCTCCACAGAGGCTACAACTATTCTGATTTCTCTCGCCATATAAATTAGTTTCATTTATTCTTGAAATTCATATAAATGGAAGCATACAGTATGTATTCTTTTGTTTATGGCTCCTTTCTCTCAACTTGGTGTTTTTGAGACTCATCCTTGTTGCATCTATCAGTAGTATCATCCCTGTTTATTTTTGAGTCATATTCCATTATGTGAATATACCATAGTTTGTTTATCCATCTTCTGTTGGTAGATGTTTGGGTTGTGTATAATTCTTGGCTATTATGAATAAAACTGTTATGGACACTCTTGTGTAAGTCTTTTTGTGGCCATACATATTCAGTTCTCTTAGGCATATACTTAACGGGTGGAATTTCTGGGTCTTGGGGCAGGTGTATATTTAATGAAAATTTTCTAAAGTGGTTTTTACCATTTTATACTCCTGCCTTCAGTGTTTGAGAGTTTGTTGTTCCACATCCTTGTCAATACTTAAATATTGTTATTCTTTTTAACTTAGCCATTCTGATGGGTGTATAGTGTTGTTTCAATTTGCATTTCCCTGAAAGTTGTTCAGCACCTTTTTATATGATTTTTGGCCATATGGACATCTTTTGGCTATTCAAGTATTTTGCTTATTTTTAATTTTTTTTTGTCTTTTAATCATTGATTTATAGGAGTTCCTTATA